ATGACTCCATCCTCCATTTCTCTACTTTTTTAAAATAGTTGTAATCAAAAAAAAATCCTTCGTCGAAGTCTTTAAAAATTGTATCTTAAAGACCTATGTAAAATTTGGCCATAATAAGTTCTCTTCGAAACTCTTACTCGGATCAACTTGAAATTTAGGACAATATTCTAGAGATGTTGCGGACTACAATAACACAATAAAAAAATCGATTTTTTGAAATCCGTCATACCCGGATATATGTAGTTGTATTTATAGAATTTTTCGAGATAATGAATTTCTATTGCCAATTTCAAATTGCCATAATTATAAACTTTCAATTTACTTAATAAAATTGTATTGTGAATGTTTTTTCTGATGTAATTCTAATCAACAATGCTGCAAAATCCATTTCCAATATCTTGCACTGAGTCTGAGTTAATTTAGTTTTCTTAATTCTACTTTAATTTAATATTGCAAAATGACTTTTAAATTAAATAAAACAAAGACTTTGATTAAAAAGTGCAGCGTGAAAAACTCCGCCCCAATGATTTCTGGTTAACCTGAACCCTGGTATTACATGTGCGTACACTGTCAGTCATTAAATTCAACTGCAAATTTCAATGAAACACGAGCCTGCAGAGCATACAAATTAAGGCGAGGCGTACTGACACACACACACATGTCATTGGCCAGATATTGAAACAAAAACAGCACAGAAGCATTTAAAGCAGGTGTAAATAATGTTTTTGGAGCCCCATAAATGGAGCGAAGAGAGCTGAGAAGTGTGAAGCAGCTTTAAAATTAAAGCAACAACAGAAATGCGGCATAAATGTGCTGTTAGCAAGTGCAGGTGTATGTGTGTGTATGTGCATGTTTGTGCACATTAAATTTGATACTTTGAAATTACATAAGAGCCTATCCAAATCAGTCTAAGGCACTGACAGACAGACAACGGTGTAATGCATATTCCTAACTTTCTCATTCTTTGCCTTCAATTTTTAAGCCATTCGTAAAACGATACGCGCCATAGAGTACAAAAATACAGAAATAGCTATAAAGGTGTGTGAGTATTTTCTTCTCAGGAAATTCTGGTTTACTTTCCCGCTAAATTATTTTAACAGTTAACTAAGGTATCCACTAATGAGGCTGCCGGGCATGACGTAAACACGAAATGCAACACCATACCTTCGCAAATAAATGTGTCAAAGCAGAAACCCTTTTTGAAGGAAAAAGAGAAACGATCTGTGACTAATTGTGAAGTTAACCAAGAAAAAAAAAAATTCCTTAAAAACCTTGATTTTTTCAGTCAGTTTGCTATATGCTATAGTGATCCGGTCTCAACAATGGGTAATAATCCATGCCAAATGTCTTGAAGATATAACGTCAAACGAAAAAGTTTTCCACACAATCAATTGCTTTTGATAGTTCAGTTTGTATAACAGCTTTATGCTTTCCTGAACAGATATCGCCGCTTCAGACAAATGAGCAGCTTCTTTTAGAGAAAACTATGTATGGGTGATGTCTGTTCCAAGGTAGGACAGGATGATTTCGTAGTCGAACAATAACTCATTGCTGTCCAGCATCTGCTAAGTTCTGGCGGAGTTTAAAGGTCCAGCAATGTTACATAGAGTCCAAAACGTTTTCGATTCGATGCTTTTAGTCTTTGCTATTTCTTAAATTTATCACTTCTTGACTGGCAATATCTTAAACTCAATTTCCACCCACAAATAATAAGACTTAAGTCCGGTGAGTAAAAAAAAACGCTGTGAGATTATTTCACTTTTCTGCAGACCTTCTTAACCTCCTTTTATTGACTTATCTAAAGAACAGTCTCATCCTACCGCAGTAAATTACATCAAACTCCGCCTAACTGCACCGCAATGAATATAAGAAACGAATATAAGACAGTACAAATGTTTCGAGGCTATTTTATATAATCAACAGATTCACTTTATTCCGCTTCGCAACATTTAGCGTAACACTTTTACAAAATAGAATTCTCCTTAACTAAAGTATCACAAAATTTCTTATCTATTTGCGTAACACAGCGACCGCGGGCGCTGGGACAGCCACTACTGGAGCGGCAGCATAGGCAGCTGGGAAAGCGGCAGAGTGGGCAATCGAGTGAGCTGAGTAGCTGCTGGCGTAGGGTGCGACGTAGCCGGCATATCCTGCGGTATAGGCGAGGGGAGCAGAGTAAGCGGCAGCGACTGGAGCGGCATAGGCAGCAGCAACTGGGGCGGCGGCTAATGGCGCGGAGTAAGCCAATGGAGCAGCCAAGAGACCGGGCTTAGCAGCACCAAAGGCAACAGCAAAGAGGGCTAGAAAGCAGACAGCGAACTAAAAAAGATGGAAAATAAGGTTTTTTTTAATAAAAATTCTGGAATGTTTCACACCTCAACTGTATAACTTACCAATTTGAACATGTTGATAATTTTTGCTGAAGATTGGACTTCTTTGGAATTGAAGTGGTAAGTGAGTTTTGAGTTGTTATGCAGACAACTTGCTTTTATATGAAGTACACTTTGCAAACCCAACAACCATATTAGCCTTATTCGCACACATAGCACGCCCAATCGTACCTTGAAGTGTTCAAAACTAACTGGTTTGCAATAATAATTGAACGTGTCATTGTTTGCTATTGACTTTGATTTTCAATTCTGAGGAAGTTTCCGAAACGCGTGCGTGTGTATTTATAACTGTAAATATTGATGTTCATTATTGACTTCGACGATGCGAATATCTGTAGCAATGAAATTTGCATGAGCTAAGGCCGCATAAAACCAGACACCTTGCTTCTTATGTTAAGCGCGTGCTCGTCTTTCGCCCAGTCGTAATATGAATGTAGACGCATGCCTTAACTATGTATGTGTCTATGTACTTATTTTAGATTTGGTGTATTTCTGACTTACTTAGTAACTAGGTGCAATTAATCAGTGGCGGATTCAGAGGGAAAAATGAGGGAAAGTATGTTCTTTGAAAATCCAAGAAATGGAAAACCTTATTGACTGCAAAAATGATAGATTCAAAGGCCTTTTGGAGCGTGCGACGTTTGAAGCTCAAATGTGAACTTGTTCACTGGGAGTGCCATTGGGGGCAGAAGCAAAAGTCAAAAGACAACAAGTTACCGACTAATGCATTGGAAATGTTGAAGAACTGCGACATACTACATATACCCCATAATTCATAGTTTTATTCGCATATTCTGCACACTTCCTGTGCCTTCCTGCGCGCTCTGAACGCTATTTTTCGACACATCGAAGCATGAAAGCATGCTTCAAGATAGATTGATCGGCCTGGCATTGCTGCATAAGCATCATGACATTGAAGACAGTGCAGAAGAAGTTCTCGAAAGATTCTCAATACTTGGCTCGCATCTTTTTGTTTTGTAAAAATTCTCTAATCAATACACGAACTCAACGCAGTATTATACATTGCAATAAAGTATGTGAATCGCACGGTTACGTTTTATATTGGCTTTTTACAGTTTAGTAGGATTTTATATTAAAAGGTCGATTTAAAATTTTTCCATCATGATATTAAACTGTATAAAGACTACTGTATCTAATACAATAATCTTCATATTTCAAGTAAACGTTTATTGCCCACACCAAAAACTATTTCTGGATCCGCCCCTGCCTTAACTATTGTATATATATTGGGTGAGCCAAGTAGAGGTACCTTTTTAAATATTGTGCAAGAATTGAAGCCGCTCGACATCCCAAAGCGACATTGCTTCACTCTATGGGCTCTTGAAAACTTTCAACATCCGACGTTTCGATAGGAGGAAGAGCAGTCTGAAGAGATTCAAGAGTTGCCACTTCATCCAGAAAAAACGGTTTCCTGTTGCTTGTAGGCCAATGGAGTCATCGGTCCATATTCCACCAAAAATGTTGCCTGTGAGTACGTAATCGTCAATAGTGACCATTATCACGCCATGATAACTTACTACTTAATGCCTGAAATTGAAGCTTGTAATCTCAGGGATATTTGGTTTCAAAAAGATGACGTGCAGAGGTGCAGATAATTGGCCGCCGATTGGCCACCAAAATCATGCCATATCGTTGGACATTTTTCTGTGTGTTAGACATTCCATATGATTCTTACTACTGTGATCAAATTGAAAGGAAAGAAATTTTTAATTTATATGTACTTAATTTTTTTACTTAATTGGTAGTACTGTTAGTGACATCAATGCTAAATTTCACGTCACAGTTTTCATTATTATTTGAGATACGCGTCGTTTTGTTTGCATATAAAAGTGAGTTCTTCGATTTTTACTATGTCTGAATTTATTGAACAAAGAAGTGCGATAATGAATCACCTAAGACTTCCTTGGTAATTCGTGATAATTTCGCCACATTTTCAACTAATATCGTGTCGCAACCACACTCGCCTCTTTGACTCAATTGAGGATATAAAAGCTGAATCGAAGAAGGCTCTCAGGTCATCAAAACGGAGGATTTTTAAAATTCCTATGATGACTGAAAAATTCGTTGGGATTAGTGTATTGCAGAGGGAGGTGATTACTTTGAAGGAAATGAAATGAACAAAATTCACCTTACAATTTGATCACAGTAGTAAGTCTAAAGTCTGTGGGGACAATCAATTTCGGCTCAGGCTCAGCCAGTTACCAATTCATGGAAAGTACTAAAAGAACAACTGTTGTTAACATTAGCCATCTACTTCATCTGAATTGTTCTATCGAATTCTGTGGTAAAGGCCTTCATCGATTTTTCTCAATAAAAAATAGCAAATATTACGAAAAGTTTTCTCATAAGGCTAGCCACCTTTCATATTAAGTATATATATAACGATAAGATCATGAGAAAGATCATTGATCTGGAACTTTTTCGAGCCATCACAATGAACGTTCTGGTAAAATTGTTGAATAACTCATATTACACAAAAAATTGAATTTCAATATACGCCCCTCTCAATCTAATTTGACATCTGATACCCAAAAATAATTTCAGATAATTTAAATTTTGATAAGAAGAGAATGCACAGGTTTTATATCATATTTTTCTAATCGTCAGCTTTATTTCATTGCCAAGGTCCGTATTATTTTCGGAAATTCCTTTTTCAAATTCTGCTCTATTTCTTCAACACAGCAACAGCTGGGGCTGCAGCAAGGACTGGCGCTGGAGCGGCCACAACTGGAGCGGCAGCGTAGGCAGCTGGGAAAGCGGCGGAGTGGGCAATCGAGTGAGCGGAGTAGCTGCTGGCGTAAGGAGCGACGTAACCAGCATATCCTGCGGCATACGCGAGGGGTGCGGCAACTGGAGCGGCATACGCAGCAGCAACTGGAGCAGCAGCTAATGGTGCAGAATAAGCCAATGGAGCAGCCAAGAGACCGGGTTTAGCAGCGCCGAATGCGACAGCGAAAAGAGCGAAGAAGCAAACCGACAACTGCAAAAGATAAAGTTGTGTTAATCACAATTAAGAAAATTCCCTTACTTTGCGTTATTTCAACTTACTAATTTGAACATTTTGATGGGTTGTGGGTTTTGCTGAAGACTAGACTTCTTTGATGTCAATTGTTCGTCAACCAGTTGCTTTTATACGAAATTCATCATTCCAACCAACAGTCAACCAATGCTACGAACGCCCTCACTATTAACCTTGAATACTATTAGAGGTACGGGTCTGTACTAGCAATTGAGCAGCAATGAGTCAATGCTTATTGTAAACATTATTCGGATTTGCAAACAGCGCACGAAAGCGGTCTCCGTCTCTTCATCGGTATTTGGTAGATAGCGTTCCCATTCATAAAATTGCGTGGAGTTTAATCCACCATAGTATTGTGCTAAATGTGGTGGTAATTAATTGCTATAGCGAAGACTGGTAGCAATTGTAGCATTGGTAAAGGCATGTACTTTTAAAGCATTCCTTTGTATGGGCCTTTCCATTGTCTTAAAAATATTAGAAATATGTATGAAATTTTTTTAAAACTCTTACAGTAGCAATTAAAAAATAAATAAAATACTCGTTAAGAGCAGGCCGGCGTTAGTAATGCCGGAGCGTTGAACTTCTTCATTCTCTTAGCAGGCAATGTTTGGAATTTGTCACAACTGGGAAGGCGTTTAAGAAGTATAGACCTGAAGTAAACTTTGAGTTAGTTTAAAAACAATTAATGCACGTTGACAACAGCTGAGTTCCAAATTAGTCGCATATTCTTCTGCCATATGCGAGAACGAAGGCGAAGAAATTTTTTAGTTATTAGCAAGCAATACATTTCGCATTGCGTCTGTCTTGGGAACTTGTTAATATTAACTATAATGAAAGAAGGTCCACCGGTGGATATTGGAACTTTCGGAAATCAGAGCCAATAGGAGACGATTCTTCAACAAGGCTCATAGAATTTTTCAATGAAAATTTTTTTAAAGAAAGCATAGGGCTTCAAGCATCAAGGTTCAAGATGTACTGAGAGGATGGAAATTGTAGCTGCACTCTGAGCAGCCAGGTAATCGTAAAACTGCTCCCAGACGCTTACTTCCGAGCAATTCCTCACCTGGGATAGTATCTCTCAGACTACCAGAGAGAAACTGCGGCATCCTTTTCAAGCCTCCTGAATGAGCATCACCTAACATGGGCAACTCAAGTCTTCCAAAGTCTGATTGAACTAAACCTAAGGAGTAGTACTCCAGGAAATCGAATTTCAAGGGTAAATTTGCAGTTGCGACCTTCCTCTATATCGCGGAGGCATTCACTAACGCATTTCCGGAGTATTAGTTAGAGCCTCAAATTGGTTTCGGGTTGAATCGAACCTTAGCATCTCATTTTAAAACTTCTCTACGATCGATGGGAGGAACGTGTCTTCTGGCTGCTGACAGAGTTAAGTACCTAGAGCTCATTCAATGCTCAAAGCTCTCGAATAAACCCAATAGAGGAGAGAGTAAGAAAGGCATCGGTTTTTCTGTACTGCTGCAAAAAAACTATACTATATGTAAAAGGTGAGGTCTTTACCAAAGTTAGTCCTTGACTTTATGATATCAATCAAGTTCTACAGATTTTTGGTAAAGCCTTGAAAAAGACTAAATTCGCGAAAAAAAATTAAAGAATGTTCAATGGGCAATAATACCTTCCTGCATACATCACCGGATTGCATATCCGGAAATTTTATGGCAGCGAAAGCTGATATCATATTCTAAGTAGCTGGACACTGACTGCAAGCCTGGACACTCTAGAACCCTTACAAATTTTGATTTCATTTTAAAATTAGTGGTAGATACGCATCAGACCAGTTCACCAAGGATTGATCAACTACTATCCTCTTTGCTGTCCTGAAGTCCTGCTGACCTAGGGTACATTGTAAGAGGTCTTGGCTCTGAGCAAGGTCCACCTTTGTATGGTTGTGTGATGTCTAAGTGGATACTGTCCGATCGAAATTCATGAGATAATATTCAACACCTTACCGGATGCCAGATACATTAGATAGTTCGAGGATAGGGAGAGATAGAATCATTTGAAGACTGGCTGAATATATCTTTCTTTTAGATATCCTGGTGAAATAGCGCAAATATAGCTAAAGTACTAAGCAAATCAAGACGACAGCAGTTTTTATCTGGCTCTACAAAGGACTGTATATAGTAGTCTAAGTGAGGTTCACGCCATCTTGAGGATCGTCCATTTAACCTAACATAATTAGGCTTTAATATAATTTGTGGATATATATTTTTACAAATGACACCAGTCCACAACATGAAAAATATGCGATATTTCATAATAAAGTAGGCCATAGGAAAAGAGGTCTTCATTTTGAATTTTTGTAGACTCAAACAGGTGTGGTAAGATGAGAGATATCACACTTGAATATATTATTTGTGCGATGTTTTATTCCGAAATTTCCAATTTCTATATCGAGTCTCTTATTCTTCTTCATAAAAAAATGAGTAAAATCGACAACAACTTACTCGCAAATATATGAAGATGGAGGGCTTTTCACAAACTGCTGATTTCACAAACACCTAAGTTAACAGTCCAACTGTGATCCCCTTTTACATGAATCAGCTCTAGAACCTTGCCAATTACCTCTCATCGTTATATATAATATATATGGCTGAAAGTTGGCGAAATATGAAATTAAATTCATAAATATAAATCTCTAGGCTGTTAGAATTTTACTAGATGGTTTCAAAAATTCCAAAGTTATTGCAGTTATTCACGTACACTTTGTAATTTAACATTAAACATATTGAAAGCTTTCCTAACACCGATCTTAGTGTCTTTTGGTCTACCTCTAATAATCTTTAAAGATATAAAAACACATAACACAAAAGCATGGGCGGCAACCACTGGAGCGGCGGCATAGGCAGCTGGGAAAGCGGCGGAGTGGGCGATCGAGTGAGCTGAGTAGCTGCTGACGTAGGGTGCGACATAGCCCACATATCCAGCGGTGTAGACGGCCAAAGGAGCGGAGTAAACAGCGGCAACTGGAGTAGCGGCTAAAGGAGTAGAGTAAGCCAATGGAGTAGCCAAGAGAGCGGGTTTAGCAGCGCCAAAGCGAAGAGTGCGAGGAAGCAAACAGCGAACTGTTGGTAGAAATAAAGTTGTATTATATGAATTACAAAATCAGAGTTAAGAAACTAAGTTGAAGTGTTTTAAACCTACCAACTTGAACATATTGTTAGTTTTGGATTTCTGACTTCCTTAAACATGAATAGGTAAGTATTAGCTTTTATACAAAATTCGGTCTGCACGCAAAGTAATGTATGGAGGAATATACAATGAATATATGAAACTTTAATACTAAATAGACAATCACTTCTTGTAATCGACGTTGACTTTAAACACATTCTAAGATTTGGTTAATATAAGTATGTACATACATAAAATTGTTTTAATATTTCACATTTATGGTTGGGCGTAGGAATTTGTCTTAAATAAAAATATAAGGTAATCAGAGAAATAACAACTATTTATTTTGTGCCTTTCGAACTGATATAAAATTAATGACTAAGTATGGAGCAAAGTGCGGGTACTACAAAGCAATGTGTAAGGAGCAAAATCGGGGACGTTTTGTTGAGTTGCTGCTATTCTTTATATAAAACAAAAAAGAAATGGCTAAGTTTTGGTGCAACCGAACATTTCATACTATTGCAACTTGCTAAGATCAAAGCCAGAAAAATACAGTCAGGTGTTGGCAAAACTGTATTTCAAAGATATTGCAAAATTATTCAATTCCCTATTTTCGATGAAATCGTGAGTGAACTATAATTGAATTTCCATTTTATTAATTTTCATTATAGTTCATAGACAAAGGTAGTTTTATACCTATATTCTACCTCCCGTCAGCGAAAAATATCTTAAAAGCATCCTCATGTAGACAGAGGATCGGTATCCATTACATGAAGGATATGAGAGTTGACGAAGGTCACTTACCGACATATTCGTCAGCATAGCGAAAATAGTTTCGGTACTAAACTGTAGTATGTATATAACATATGTACTTATCCAATATTTTATTTAGCTTAATAGGTTAAAATTTTGCTGTATAAAGACAAACGGTTGTTTTAAAATCCTGATATTAGTAGAAGCTAGGGAAAGTCTAAACCTGAATTTGTGTATGTATTTTATGCCCAAAGGTATACTGTTATTAGAAAAATACACTCTTTCAATATCATTAAGATAACTCGTATATTAGCTGATATATGGGGTATAAATTCAGCCGAAAGTTCGAAAAACTTTCTATTAAGTAGACGGGGGCTAAAAGAAATACTGACTCAATTCATCTCATTTTTAACATACAAACAAAGTCTTATACTGACTGACCGATATGTTCGATAAAAAGTTCATAATAGAAACTGTGGTACGCAAACTCGATTTATGGAGGCTGAACAGTTTTGAACCGATTTGATTAATTTTTGGTCACGAGAAAGCACTATTTATGCAAATTTGTGCATGCGGATATATTGAGTTTTTCGTGATTTATATACGGGAGAGTAAAAACATCGGATGGAACTTAAAATTGTAGTTGTAAAAATGTAAAGTAAGTAGGGTTCGAATTTTGTTGTAGAAATGTCAATGTAATATTACCTACCGAATTTGGTCGAAATTGATGTAGTAGTTCCAGAGGTATGCGATTTCACCAAACGCCATCGTCCAATTTTGACTCCGGCTTCTACAATTCCCTCCTGTTTCATTATAGGTATGAAATTTAATATCTCTAAGGTATTTAGTTATTGATTTATCGAGCTTTTAGTAGTTTTTAAAACACCGTTTAATAGCAACACTGTCAGTAAGGGTTTTTAAAAGTATTGTATTGTTATTGACAAGGTCGATTAAGCTATTGTGACTTTCGGGATTTTAGAGGTATGTACATTAAACCAATTAGACGGCGCAGCCACGCCCATTTTTCTTTTAAATTTATTTATTTATTATTATAATTTTTTTTTGTTTTTGTAAAAATGCCTGATAAAAGTAAAATTTTCACTGTTTTTGTTCTTCCTAAGGTCAAAACCCTGTCGTAAATAAATCACGAATCAACAACATAATATTAGACCTAAATCTATTCTTATTTAATACTAAACTAAAATGTGGCCAAAAAAGATGTATACTTAATTAACGGATATATATGGCTTCAAGTCAATCGAAAAAATTAAATCACTTTGTGAGGATATTCGTATTGGGGTTGGGCAGATAGGGACGTACTTTTGAAACAAAGCTAAAGAATTCTTGAGAATACTCATATGTATATCCACGGAATTTTATTAATAATAAATCACGCATACATATATCAGGCACAAATTTTTCTTGAGTATTGAAAATCATGCTTTTTAAAACGGAGGGAACAGATATTTTTTGAAGAATTGATGGGAAGTAATATTCGTGGATTGGGTATTGGGTTGCGTTAATATTCAGAATTGTCTTATTTAATAAAATCCAAATACCTAACAGAAAATAACTGTCAGACACTGTGTTTGTCATATTTGAACCAAAAGTTAACGCTTTTTCAATCGCTCGTCCTCTAATAAGCATTATGTGATATTGATACCTTGTTAAACTTCTAAACTACGAAAACAAACTTCAAGGAAATAGTCACTATTACATGCTGTACAAGTAGACTGATATTGTGTAAAGTCGGTTAACCACGTTTAGTTTCATTTTTAAAAAATCGAAATTATATATATAATTGAATATATACGAGACTAAATTGAAGCACTGAAATTGGGGCGACATATAAACACAAAAAAAAAAAAACTTTAGATGTTGCAATTAAAAATTTAATTATAACCTCTTAAAAAACCAACAAAACTGCGCTAATTATTTGTCATGGTTTTTATTCAGTTCATATTTGTTCAGTCCTTTATGGTTGCGAAACAACGCGTTCGTCGTTATGCGTCTATTTCTTCAATACAGCCACAGCTGGGGCAGCGGCAACTACTGGAGCAGCAGCATAGGCAGCTGGGAAAGCGGCAGAGTGGGCAATCGAGTGAGCTGAGTAGCTGCTGGCGTAAGGAGCGACGTAACCAGCATATCCTGCGGCATATGCGAGGGGTGCGGCAACTGGAGCGGCATACGCAGCAGCAACTGGGGCAGCAGCTAATGGTGCAGAATAAGCCAATGGAGCAGCCAAGAGACCGGGCTTAGCAGCGCCGAAGGCAACAGCGAAGACAGCCAAGAAACAGACAGCGAACTATAAAAATAACAGAGTCAATAAGTTTTAGAGTTTATAAGACTAATCAAAGGTTATATTGTACTCACCAGTTTGAACATTTTTATGGGTTTGGGTTTTGGAACTTCTTAACGAACGAAGTGGTTAGCGAATTGTGATGCAAATATCGACAAATCGCGTGCTTATATATCTATGAGGAATGCAAACAAATGCCGGCATTGGCTTAGTACTAATTTTAATGTGGTGAGTGAAGGTAAGAGACGTGCTTGCACTACAAATTACGCATTGATGTATTAATATACTTACATACGTCCTCAGTGTCACTAGTAAACTAAGTTTTAGTTATTCTGTTTATATCAGAGAGATAAGTAGCTATCAGTTGTATTGGTGATAGTATAAAAACTTTGGAGACCGTTATTGCGCCATATGGTTTTGGTAGAAGGATAGTGAAAGAAAAAATAAAAGTAATTTTAAAATAGTCAAGTTTAGCTTTTGAAAGTAAAATACAATATATGATATGTGTATCAGAGAAGATTGGTTTCATAACCACAAATACATGTAGAATTAAACAATTTTTATACTCTCGCAACAAAGTTGCTAAAGAGAGTATTATAGTTTTGTTCACATAACGGTTGTTTGTAAGTCCTAAAACTAAAAGAGTCAGATATAGGGTTATATATACCAAAGTGATCAGGGTGACGAGTAAACTTGAAATCCGGATGTCTGTCTGTCCGTTCGAAGATGGGCAAAATCGGCCTACTGCCACGCCCAAAAATGGCGGAAACCGAAAACCTATAAAGTGTCATAACTAAGCCATAAATAAAGATATTAAAATGAATTTTGGAACAAAGGACCGCATTAGGGAGAGGCATATTTGGACACAATTTTTTTGGAAAAGTGGGCGTGGCCCCGCCCCCTACTAACTTTTTTGTACATATCTCGAAAACTACTATAGCTATGTCGACCAAACTGTATAGAGTCGTTTGTTTTAGGCATTTCCATATACAGTTCAAAAATGGAAGAAATCGGATAATAACCACGCCCAGCTCCCATACAAAGGTTATGTTGAAAATCACTAAAAGCGCGTGAACCGACTAACAAAAAACGTCAGAAACACTAAATTATACTGAAGAAATGTCAGAAGTAAGCTGCATCCAGGCTTTTTTTTTTAAATTGAAAATGGGCGTAGCGTCGCCCACTTATGGACCAAAAACCATATCTCAGGAAGTACTCAACCGATTTCAACGAAATTCGGTATATAATATTTCATTAATACCCTGATAACATGTACCAAATATGGGTGAAATCGATTCACAACCACGCCTGAAATCTTGATTATCACTTTATCATGCGAGAGTATAAAATGTTCGGTGACACCCGAACTTAGCCCTTCCTTACTTGTCATATTTAAGCTTATATATTATATTAAACATTTATACATACATATAATATATATATTTTTGAATTAGTTTAGTCGATGTTAAAAGTTTGAAATATATAATATAATAAAATGCTTTCTGTTCAAATTCATATAAATGAACAATATATATTTATATATTATTTATACATGAAATTGTTGTTAACTCTGAACAGACGATATCAATTTGCCACGAAGTTTAGTCGATAATTATCCGCATATGTGTATATCGATCTAAAATTTTGTACAAAATCTTTTTTTTCCAAGAAACTGCTTATTTGTTATGTTTCTGACAATCAGACAAATACCAATGTAGGATATACATAATAGTTGCTATAAGAACTGATCGATCAAAATTCAAAAAATTGAACACTGAACTTCTCAGATCAGATCAAAAATCTGATTGAATCAAATCTAGTTCCGCTATGGGCAACTTTTTATTTTGAGAAATTATAATTATCTTCGAGTAATTTGGCACATATCATTGTTCAAGAAAACGCTACTATCTCTGAATACAACAGATCAGATCCGACAACTATAGCATTGATACTCAGTTATCTTTTACTCGGTCGGATAAGCAGTATATCGTCACCAGAAGTGCAAAATAACTGGCTCCGCAGCCGTTGCCCTGCGTGACATTATGTGTTTTGAAATGAAAACACAAAATTTTTTGGTTTCTGGCTCGGTGTACAGAAAAGATGGTTTTCCAAAACGTGAGCATGCCACGTATACCTGGCCGCGTGAAAAAAATATCATTTCCAAATGTATGCCACACACCATGCGACTATCCTTGTTACCTGTTGATTGTCATCTCACATGCAATTTTCACTGGAAACGGATTACATTTCAACTGAAATGGCAAATCGTTAGAACTCAAAGGAATTCGTAGAATCAAGCATTCTGTCCACTTTTATTCGATAGGTGCGTCACAATCAGTCGGATTCCATTACACAGTTTCGGTGCATGAAGAATGCGAAACATAATAACGACAGATCCAACTTTGAGACGCAAATGATGCGGTCGCTTACCAATCCTCTACAAAGAACTTATAAATCACACTGGATAATTCACGGCATCGTCTTCATTGTTTAGACGATCGATCGATTTGTATGAGCGCAAGTTTCGCGGAATTTGACTTTGAATCTTCCAGTTTGGAATCGTAGTTACGATAATTTTGCGAAGGTCCGAACATTCGTGACGAGTTTATCTTACGTGAATTGATAACGGGCACATAGAATTGATATCACCACCGGAAGTATCAACCGGAATTGACCCATTTCTAACTCTTCATCGCAAAACTTCATTTGCATTCCAAGCAACTACCGCATCGTCCATCGTTTGATTCCAGTAATTATCAAGTTCCAGCAATTGTAATTGCTGGCTTCCTTCTCAATATGGTGCACACACCATTCACACTTTGCAATGACTCAAATGAAGTTGAACCGCGTACATTAATCAATCGCAACCGAAGGTAGAAACAATCGTCGTTTTCGGGTGGATTGTGTAAATTGATCCTAATGCATTAGTTGAGAACACACATGGATATCCATCTACTGGTTGGCCATGCTTTCTGCCTTACTATTTCTTCCACGATGCATTCCAGTTATAATGTCAAGGCATTTCCGAATAGAGCAATGTTCTCGCAAATGGATCACTGACGAAAGTTTAGAAAAAAATCGTCAATGTTAATTTTGTTTTGTTGCGGTTTTCAACTGAATTCTCTGGGTTGAAATACACTCCTTGGCCATTCTCCGAATAAACTGCGAGACGCATAACAGTCGGAAAACTTTCATGAATTACAAAAGTAATTATCTTACAAAACGCTTCATTGCAATACACGTATCGACCCATTTGATATTTGCTGATCTCGTTCAAGGCCAATAACCGCCACGTTGCTTTTGGTGACGGACTTGCAAACGTATTTGATTGATTTCACCAAACTGAGATACTCAACATTGATATGAGTTTTGAATGTGAGTTAGAAAATAATGGTGAATATAGTACGATTCATGTGTTGTCAACTTCAATATTTACTCTTTAAAACTGAATGCTTAAAGTTCTGCCATTGGCGTCTGGTGAGCGACGCCGATCCATCATTTTCAGTTTGTGTTTCCGAAAGAGAAGCGCGTGGATAGTGTTTCGTGCATTTATTGTCCGGAATACAAATCGAAAATGGATTGTAGCACCACTTTGTGTAATACTGGATCCTTCTCTGAACCAGAAATTTCGATAGAAATTATTTCAGCAATTTGAGCTGGTGTAACCACCATCCAAAAAAATCTTTTGCCACTCAACAGAGTACATCTAGCATCTAACAGCACCACATATACGATGCTTCAAGATAAAGTGCATCAAACATCGTAAGTGTTGTTTTAAAGGTCGTGCTGTGACATTGTGACGATCGCTTGCTGATTGACCGTAATCCATAATTCCACAAGTATGTCATCGCATCCTGAGAATACTCGGTCATGTGCCTTGGGCTGCCATGTACTATATGTTGATGCCAAGAAGAACGCCGACCGATATTAGCGCGACCTCTTCATGACATCGTGTCAAATTTCAACTTGTAACTGAGCACTTCGTGTGAAATACACATAACGTTTTCACAGAATAATTTTCAATTGTGTTTTTTTTTTTTTTTTTTTTTTTATTTTTTTTTTTTTTTTTTTTTTTTTTTTTTTTTTTTGTTTTTTGAAAAATTGAAAATAAAACAAACAAAATTAAAATAAAAATGTTTGTATGACAAAAAGTTACTTTTTGGAATTGTCCAATTTTCCGACTTTTCCTCGCGAAAAGCATACGGTTTTTTTATTTCTAAACTTTCCACGATTCACAGCGAACAACCTGTAAAATTTCATAAAAATTGGTTCTGCTGTTCTCGATTATTAGCGTTACTAACAGACAAACATTCATTCGTTTGTATGGGAAAAAGAAAAGGGCTCTTTTGAGGGACTTTCCGGAAATTACATATTCGAACTTTTCTCGCACATAAAAAAAAAAGAATTGGCCAAATTAGTCCAGGCGTTGTTGAGTTATGTGCTTAGCAACACATTTTGCGATTCATTTTTACATATGTATGAGATATTATGTAATGATTACTCATACGTTTAAACCAGTGGTAAGTTTACCAATCAAAAAAAGGAAGACCCCACAATGCTCGCCAACTGTCGTGGGAAAAGCCGCCTCAACATCGTATATAAGGTTCTATCGAGCTGTGTGAAACACTGAAGCCCACCGCGAACAAAGTGATTGGACCTTGTCAGTCTTTGGATCTTAAAAGTCTACAATCGACCAGATTTTAACCATCCGCCAAATCTTGGAAAAGAAACGTGAAAGCTAAATGGCTATGTAAGCAACAATTGTGGTTGTGTTCACCTGCTATATGGAGGATTTAAATTATTTTCCTATTATGTACTTCTTCTTGAAAACAAGACGTAAAAAATCATCCTTTATAATTATTAACTCGTTGCCAATTTCTGTCCGACAAGACACTTTTTCAAGTTTAATAACCAAAGCACCGATCAAACTTAGAGAAATTTATAGATGGGGCAAAAACTTGGAAGTGATGGCGGTGAAGGTTTGCACATGTTAGAGCCTGCAAATGTTTTGCCTTCCTCAAGTAAGCATCGCAGATGACGTGTGATCTGAATCTACGAATTCTGTGGATACCAACACTACGCCGATTAGAGCCTATTCGCCTTTGTCGCAGCAGACTCAACGGTAAATTTCACTGTAAATAAACTGTTTCTTGGCTTCTGGTGTGTACCAGTGAAGAAGCAGCATTCAGCAATCCTTGATTTCCCCCCTTTTAAAATTCATAAATTCAGTTATTAATTGATATTACTTTTTTTCAACGGCCACGCCCATATTCACATTCGATCAAAACGCGATCATCGTGCATTGAGGCTTTAATAAACAGAAGAAAAATTACCTATTCAAAAAATTAAAAAACTATGTATATAACGATATTTTGAATTTGTTTTTTATCGACTTTTAATTTTTATTTCTTTATTGGGTTAGTACTTTCGACAACATCATGAAAATTGCATTCGTTTTCTATTTCTTCAACACAGCGATGGCTGGAGCTGCAGCGACTACTGGTGCTGGAGCGGCGACTACTGGTGCGGCAGCATAGGCAGCTGGGAAAGCGGCGGAGTGAGCGATCGAGTGAGCGGAGTAGCTGCTGGCATAGGGTGCGACGTAACCAGCATATCCTGCAGTGTAGGCGAGGGGAGCGGAGTAAGCAGCAGCGACTGGAGCGGCATAGGCAGCAGCAACGGGGGCAGCGGCTAAAGGAGCGGAGTAAGCCAATGGAGCAGCCAATAGACCGGGTTTAGCAGCACCGAAGGCAACAGCGAAGAGAGCCAAGAAGCAGACAGCGAACTATTGGAAAGAATAATGTAATATTATATAAGTGACATAATTTAATTAAAACACAAATGAAGTTTTCGAACTTACCAATTTGAACATTTTGCTAATTTTTTGTTTTTGAACTTCTTGCAAGCGAAGAGTTAAACGAATTGTGATATCAGTGTCTAAGAAACCACTTACTTTTATACGAAATTCGATATTTACCAATTGAAGTGCATGAATTACCCAAAAGTGTGGTAAAAAACGATTTTGTAATACTAATTAGACATCGGTGTGTCACTCTTTGCAGTTGACATTGATTTTTGAACACTGTACACTTCCAAGCTTTTTTCGTTTAGCATAGTACACTCGTGAAAACTGCAAATATTGGAAACCATACATATTCGAGTTTTCGAATATTTTGTACTTTAATTTATTTATTCATTTTATCGGTTTTTGTATTACAACTGCTAACTTTTTCTTGCATAATTCAGGCACGATGATATTGTTCAAATTAGCCTCAACAACACCGCCGTTACTTCTGCTTTTTATTTTATTTTCTCTAGACTGGACAAGGAAGCAAAGCAAATGGGTCTGGTAGTGAACGAGGCAGGACGAAATATCTTCTGTTAGCAAAGAAATAGTCGTCGTGCTCGCGACTTGACTCCCACGTCACTTCTGACAGTCATAACATTCGAGAGAAAGGCTCTGCTTAAGATCTATTTATGGTCCTTTGCGCTTTGGCAACGGCAAATATCGCATTCGATGGAGCTATGAACTCTATGATATATACGAGCACATTGACATAGTTCGGCAAATAAAAAGACAGTGACTACGCTGGTGAAAACACTACAGCTCTGAAAGTATTCGTCGCAGTACCTGCCAGGAGAAGCAGACGAAGAGGAAGCTCCACTCCAAGAGATTAGGTGGAGAAGGACCTGGCTGCACTTGGTATCTCGAATTCGCGCCAAATTGTGAATAGGAGCAACGACTGGCGCGCTGTTGTAAAGTCGGCTCCGCGTAAAATGTGTCTGCGCTTTAAAGAAGAAAAAGAATTCAGAATATTACAATTCTTTGGTTGACTTTTTCACGATTCAAAAATTTTTAGTTTTTATTTTCTTAAAGAATAGAAGGAACTTATTTCTGTAAGATGTAGCCTGTTGTCACGTCGGCAAAGGTTAGAATATTTGTACAGCACTTGACCACAGTCTATTGTCCCAACTTATTAAAAGTTCTATCCAAACATGTAACAGTATCTCTAAAGTTAAATTTTTTCATTGTTTCAACCAAATCGCATTCATAGCACAAAAAGGCGGCCAACAGAGAATTTTAATAACATGAACTTTTTATTCTTATCACGTTTTGATCCATTAGTTGAATCAAAGAAGTGACATCCTGCAATATATCTCTGTACTATATAAGTTATTATAAAACTGTAATTCATCCTCCTTTAGATTCGAAGGTGCGTTGTCAAGAAGAAGTAAAGTCGTTTGAAGCAAGCCGATCTCTTTTAAATAGATTTTCACCCAGTGAAATAATATAATATATTTGTTATAGGGTATGCAATTTCTAGTATAGTATAGTTGGTACCAAAGAAAAGTGAAATAAATTTTTGTATGGAGTTGGTGTCATCCAGGCGGACTTTGATTTTTTGTACTCCAATTGCTAGTTAAATTTCTTATTAGTCTGTTCTAGAAACGTATGATATTGATGACGTGTATCGCTGGCAAATGCCCCTGCTTAACTTGGCACGCAACTCTTTAGCTTTTTCTTCGAAAATTAATCCGTTCACCGGGTAATTCTTACCACATTGTAATTAAAACCATTTGTAAAGCTTTACTTTCATTGTCGGAAGTTCTGAGGCGTATTTAGCGAATTATTAACACATTTCAAAATTGGTTTTTCATTTTTTTTTAATTCTAAATTCATCTTCAACATTTTGTACTGCCTTAATTATTTCAGAAAGTTCATGTTTCCGAACGTTTAAGTTACCCTGTTTTCGAGTTTTTACTGTACTTTGTTTACTTAGGACAATATATAGTATTGAAATGACTTAGATGCCGGCTTAGAAGCCAGCGAATAGCCATAAAGTAACTACGGAGGCCTTATAAAATACATATAATATATACATAAATGATCAGTAAGACGGCTGAGTCGTTTAACCATGTCAGTCTGTCTGATGTCTCAATATACGCGAACAACTGCCTCAGTTTTTGAGATGTCGAGCTGAAATTTTATCACTATAGAATATAACTGCATACAAATTGAAAACTTTTCAATATAATAATATTAATATACGAAATATATTTAGGTAATTTTGCATAGAACTGATCGAACAAAATAAAGTTTTTGTAAGGAATCTTTTGTATTTATGAAGGATATTATCGAGGTTAACGTTTATATAGTATATGTTTGTGCACACTTTTAAACGCAAATGGTTTAGGGGTCGGCTGACTTAACAATTAAGAAACGAACGTTTCATCAAATTTTTTTTTTGAAGAAATGTCATATCTTCTAAACGCTGGCTTTCACGTCGTACATAGACGCCAGATGGAGGTTTGTTATTTATATGTATTTTGGTAAGTCGTGCAGCACGAGACTTGATACCTAATTATGATACTTCTTTCAGTCCCTTGAATTATGAAGCTCGAAAAGCAGAGGAGGTATTCCTGCGTCCCTTTTATGCCTACTTTCCACTAAAGTCTGTATCTAGCCTTCGTAAATTATTTTATGATTTAATTTCAGAACCTATAGTAAATGCCTAGACCTTAAAATATGGAAGAAATCATGAACAAAAAACAAATGAAACTTTAATTTCTACTTTATGTTTTCACATATATTTGCTAAAACGTCTTTTCAATTTTAATTTCATCACAGTCTCATAAATAAAGTTTCAGCAGATTCAAATTTATTTGCGCAACACAGCGACGGCTGGAGCAGCAGCGAGCACTGGTGCTGGAGCGGCGACAACTGGAGCAGCGGCATAGGCAGCTGGGAAAGCGGCGGAGTGGGCAATCGAGTGAGCTGAGTAGCTGCTGGCGTAGGGTGCGACGTAACCAGCATATCCTGCAGTGTAGGCGAGGGGAGCGGAGTAAGCAGCGGCGACTGGAGCGGCATAGGCAGCAGCAACTGGGGCAGCTAAAGGAGCTGAGTAAGCCAATGGAGCAGCCAAGACACCGGGTTTAGCAGCACCGAAGGCAACAGCGAAGAGAGCCAAGAAGCAGACAGCAAACTATTAGAAAGAATAATGTGATATTATATAAGTCACATAATTTAATTAAAACACGAATGAAGTTTTCGAACTTACCAATTTGAACATTTTGTAATTTTTTGTTTTTGAACTTCTTTGCAAGCGAAGAGTTAAACAAGTTGTGATATCTATAATACAGAAGCCGCTAGCTTTTATACGAAATTCGATGTTTACCCGTTTAAGTACATAAATTACCAAAAAGTGTGGTAAAAACGATTTTGTAATACTAATTAGGCATTGATGCGCCACTCTTTGCGGTTGACATTGATTATTAAACACTGAGCGCTTCCAAACATTTTCTGTTTATTGCTCAGTTGACTCTAGTTAATTTACATTATTGAAATTCGCTTACATTTAGCTGACTTGAAAGTTGGCGAATATAATTATGCATTATACTTCCTTAGATTAGAATAATTTAGGATATAATGGAATGTATGTGAATTTATATGCTGGGTTCTTCAATAAGAGTGATATGATTTATTTTTACAGAAACAGACTAACTAATTGTCAAGGAAATTCAATCTGAGAAAGTTCTTGAAAAATAGAAGAAATCAGGTAATATTTCTCGAGATGGTCAGATTCTTACGTATGATAAGTGTGATGTTTTGAGTTTCTTGATCGTCAACTGGAAAAACTTGGCTGTTGTCTTAAAAATCGTGACATCATAATTGGTTCAGCTACATCCGAAGTTAGTCGCTTCGTTCTCTGCAGATGTAAACTCAAATACATTAGTAAGAATGAAGAAAAAAATTGTAAATTTCAAAAATCGTTTTCATTAACTTTACAGGTTCTTAAGACATAAGCCCTCTTGACCACTGATCCAATAGTAAGGGACGCTACCCGCCCTCTTCGTTTGTAGAAAAGATCTCAGACCACCATTTTCGCTTGCGTTCTGTAGCTAGAAGTTCATAATGGCAACTTAGAAATCATCAACTCCCAAGAAAAAAAACTTTTAGAAATGAAATTTTGTTTGCCGCCCATGAAAACAACGCAAGCAAGGGGTAATAGTCTGAGTAATTAAATCTCAATTTAAGATCTATGAAAAATCTAGAATCAGCACCCATATTTGTCAATAGCGCAAATCTCGAGATTAGTCAGACCAAATCTTCGATGCAACTGATATCTGCTTTAAGAAGGTGAAGTCACCTGTATCTTATGGAAACAATAGCCAAACCATAATGTTTCTGTCACCAGCTTCAAGGGTATTTAATGTGTATTAATGGTTATAAACATGATTTTTCGAGATGATTACTTGATAAATAAATCGATTAGACTTAAATAAGTTTACTTTTGCTTCACCATACAAAATAATGGCACATCATTTCTCTGTAGGCTAAAGTACATGTTCTTTAGCAAACTTTAGCTTTTATTGCATATTTTTTTGCAAACATAGGACCTTTGATTGGTTTTGGATCTTGATGTTGATTTTGCTTTGTAAATACTTTGCGATTAGTATGAAGGATCAACATCATTGTTCAAATCACATTTAATGCTGCCATAAAAAACTATCGGATTGATCGGAATAAAGTGCTTGTGTGAAAAACATTTTTAATTGACCAAATATCTTCACGGAATTCGGAATGTTCACATTGTCCAAAATAACGGAAGAAATTATTCAGATCATACTACCTTATACATATATGTCATACAAACTGACCGATATACACCAAGATAATGAGATCGTGTGAGTAGAAAGCCTGAGTGTTTTCCTTGCACATTATCTTGGCGACCCTGAATGCTCCTAAAGCATTTATTATCCGTATATTAGCCATTTCATTGTGTATCGATATATTATATATAGTATATTGGGTAGTCGAAAAAATATTTTCTTTTTTCTAATCATATTCCAACTTTTTTTTTTTTTTTTTTTTTTTTTT